ATGAATGGGTTGAGAAAACGGCGGGGTGGATGATATCAACACACTGTTCACACATTAGATATGGCAATTCGAAGGACTCCCTCCGCCAATGTCGCCCCAAGAACGTCATTGAACAGAGACCGACCATTCTTACTCGTTGTTCGAATTTAAAATTTCAAGAAACAAATCCCGATGAAATCGCCCGTCAATGTCGCCACCCACGCTGCCGTCCACACCGCCGAGTGATTATACCTGGCGAATCGCTCATCGCCTCGCAACAGTATTAACATCAGAGGACGTCGATCCACATGTCCGTTTACGCAGAGAGAGAGAGAGAGAGAGAGAGAGAGAGAGAGAGAGAGAGAGAAAGAGAGAGTGAGAGAGAGAGAGATTGCTGTCAGGACGTGTCCTCCAAACGTGCGCACTGCGGACTTCTACCATGAATGACGTCGGTGGCCGACAAGCAGGGCTGACGAAACCGTGCACAGTGCACACGATGCTAGGACGTTGGCGAACAACGTCCTAGTTGAATGGGCATTTCGAAGACTTCCTCTATGAATGCGTCATTTCAACTAACTTCGGACAACTTCCGTCCATTCTCAATCGTTATTTCAAATCCGAAATCGGAGTCACATGCAAAATCGCACGTGAATGCCGCAACCTGTCAGTTTCATGATGGACTGTGTTAATGCCACGGAACCTCCCCGCCAATCGTCATGGATCGCCCTCTACTGACGTCGACATTGAACCACGTAGACATGGGCATTGTCCGTGGAATAACAAATGACAAGAGAGAGACACATACCAACCAAAAAAAAAAATGTATTTTCAGGAATCAAGTTTGACTCCTTTCCTGTCGAAGTTCTTTAGTATATCACCAGTTGTTCATGTGTTGTTATAAAAGCAATCCTTATTTTCATCAAGAAGTCAACTAAACTAGCATTGGTCCTGCAGTCAGTCTGGGGGCATCACGAAGAATAACAAAAGTTCTACGTTGAAACTTTGTTGGTCCAACGTTGAAAAACATGTTGGACCATTGTTGGTCTGTTGTTGAACTCTTGTTGAACTTTTGTTGAAATCTTGTTGAAAAACTGTTGAAAAATTGTTGAACTCTTGACGATCAACATCGGTGTGTATTTTCAAAAATATATATATAAAAATAAACATTTGTTTTATCATTAAGTCTCACATCTTTGTGTATTGATATTCTCCTATTTATGTTTTCATTTTCTGATGTTCATCTGTAATTCTGGACAATGACAAATGACAAAAAATACATATAAATTTTGAATAAGATGTATTCTCGGGTTTTTAATTTTTTCGCAGACCCTAAGATATGTTAGCAATCGTATGATGTCTCTAGTATTACATTTATTGTGAGTTATGAAACGACTGTAGGTTTTAGAGCACAACTTGATAGAGACTTTTTCTTCATGCATTGACTCTCTCTCTCTCTCTCTCTCTCTCTCTCTCTCTCTCTCTCTCTCTCTCTCTCTCTCCGAATAATAAATTATTGATCACATTATATTTTGACGAGAAGGGTTGGCAACTTGGCGTCCACCTTCAGACAGCACTTCAGAAACAGGTAGTTGCACTTGGGGGTGTTACGAAACGTCAGTTTCTCATTGACTGGTTACAAAGGTTTGCAAAGTAACGAGAGTTTACTGAGTTCGAATCTCTTGTTCGTTGCCCATACTTCCTTGTTTGTCGACGAACTCGATAAAATAATGACAAGTCCTAGAGGACAATGAGTCTTGTAAAGGCGATAGCAGCGGTGTAAATAATTATGTTGCCAACGATAATAACCACTTGAGACATAACATCATTCAAAATCATGACGAAACAAAACACAGCTGTTTCTTCTCTATATACAAATATATGCAAAATATGTATGATCTGTTGTTGTCTTCCCACTGTTTACCTATTATGCACGTGCCTCACGAAGCATTTATTTTATGTTTGTCGATATGGACTCTACTAATTAAACAAAATAGACTGCAATCTCAAATGCCCATATATTTTTATTTTTTTCTACATTTTTTTTTTACTAAAAAAAATAACCTTATGACTTTATCATTTCGTTGGGCATATCCTATGAAAAGCGGAAGGTAGTCGGACGCAGTTTTGTTGCTAACATTTTTTTTTTTTTCTCTCTCTCTCTCTCTCTCTCTCTCTCTCTCTCTCTCTCATACACACACACACACACACACACACACAGATATGTTAGCAATCGTGTGACATCATGACGAGGTACAGAGTCGGTCTATGTCCGTCATGACATGCCACACCATGGGCTCGAGCTTTCAATTTTGCACCAGCGATGGACCATGAATGATTTCAACTGGAGCTCATGATAACTGTCATTGTACGTTGTGCTTTCCAGATCGTGGTCCCGCTGTGGCCCACGAATTACTCATCGCCTTACTCCAGCCTCAACATCATACTCTGTGGGTGGACATGGTCGTTCACACGCACGCACATACACACACACACACACACACACATACACACAGAGTGAGTTCCCAACGGGGACCACAACCTCACAGCAGGAAGATGTAATTGTCACCTCCGCCCTGTGTTGTCGAGTAGTGGAGTGTGGACCTCGCTCCACTACTCACCAGTACGTGGAAAACGAGAACGTTCGATGCGGAAGATTGATTGGGCCTCGCTCTACCATTCTCCAGATGCACCAAAGATAAACAACATGGCGGTGTATATTTCCATGTTTTAGTACAATATTCATTCTCATTTTGAACCTTTGGAGGGTAGTGGAGCGAGGCTCATTCTCTCTTCGCGGAACCACCCAGCAGTGGAGCACCAAACCCACCCTATTCCCACACCTACTCCAAGCTCCGTAGTTGTGGAAGCACGCTAACGGTTGGGTGACAAGCCCTGCAGGTACATGAGACACAGAGGTCTGGGGGAACAAAAGGCCACAATCATTCACCTGCGACATCTGCCAATCTGGTAGCGGTGTTATCTTTACCGAACTTTCAGTATCACACATTTTGTCTTTTGTTTGTGTGGAAATAGAAGACGATGGACGGTCCCCATGTTTAGCCCGACTGCGGTCCGGCGACGGACGAGGACCGTTCACCGCAATTGAAACAAATCCAACCGACTAATAGCGTCAATGGGAAACCGCTAACATACCCACATTCAATTCATCCCGTTCAAGGAAAAACATAATCAATCATGCGCCCTAGCATCAATAGGAATAAGCGGTTAAGAAACATGTCGCACAAAACCGATGGCCCCGACGGGGGGACTAAACTGCTGCAAGTGGGACTTGATCGCACAATAAAAGGCGTTAACATCGAAAAAAAAACTAATTTTTTATTTGAATACAATAGTTTTTCTTTGCGTGTCATTTTTCTCTTCTTCTAGGACAACGGCCGATCCGATTTTGCGCTTACAAGTACTGCCCGCAACCCTTAGAAACCCCTGTCTGCAATTTTAAACGAATGATGAAAATGCCTGGAGGGAATAAACGCAACCCTACAAGAGACTTAGGGCTAGGAATTGGAGTTTCCCAGGCTGTTTTCCAAAGTTTTGAGGCGTAGTCGCGCGCAGTGGTCCCACACCCTGCTGGGAGCGCTGAACCTCACGGTCGTGTCGCACAGGAATTTTTCTTCAGAGTTGAAAAAGAATCAGTCACCACTTCGATCGTGCGTGCGTGCTACACCTCTCACAACACCTCACGACATGTCGGGGTGCCGCGAGGTACAGCTTACCTGTACACAAGGGGTTGTCACCACCCTTAGGTAGGCGTATCCCTGTTGAGCTATCGGCCCACATGCGAAGATTTTACTTGCCTTTGTAGAGGTAGGTCGGTCGAGGGCGTTTTCTCGATCGTCCCAGCACAGGAATGGGGTACGCGCGGTAAGACGTCTAAGACTGACACGTTCGTCAAGTTTGGTTCAGGATGTGATTTCCCGATCCTGGACTTCTAGATATTCCGGTCAAACTTTTATAAGGCTGTCTATACCCGCTTTTAAATCTAAAAATGTGTTACTCTCTTGCCAAAGGAGAACAAGGTACCGATCAAATCATCTTACTACCTAGGGTATTTTATTCTACTTAACAGGTCATGACTTAATTGAACATCAGATATTACAAACGTTATATAGGACAAATAATGAATATAGAGGTAGTACCGCCGAGAAACCTTCCCACTTTCACAAGTGTTGTGTGTCCAATACTCTTCACGAGGTCAAGCCCAGTTCAATCCAAACCACGCACAAGACAGACTCGGACCCACACAGAATAATGCAAAGACAGTTCATATGACATGCACTAGCGGCGTCAACCATCAACCATTGACCTTGTTCCTCACTTCCCCAAACCATGTATGACAACTTTATCTTTCGTGAGACGTAGGCCCAACCCCCTCACATGTCTTCAAAGGACCCTTGAGAGTCACTAGGATCATTTAGGCAATGACCACAGATGACAGTTTTACTGACTACAAGGTCTGTCTTTAGATGTGGGTGTCAAGTCATGGGGGAAAAGTTGAATTGGTAACAACCGACCTTTTATCGAGAGATAATAGAAAAGTTTGGGTTTTTTTCGTAGAACCACTCCTTCAATAGCAGTAGACCAAAACAAGGACCTGCACACATACAGGTCAACAAAGATTCAACACTCCCACTCGATTTACCACTTATTGATATCCAAGGGCCAAGCCCTTAGATCCGGACTGTGAGTTATGGATCGACATCCAGAGTCGAATCTCTAACTTCTACTCTCATAATCCGACCCTAAGTTGTTTGTCCCCTTCTTTTTTCGTTCAAGGAGTCTCATGCATGTATCCTAACCAGAGAGCACAAATGGGTAACCGTTGCCCATACCCGACCGCACCCAACTGTAACCGCCAGGTCACGGGTAGGGCTGGGTGCCCCTTTCGAAAAGGGCGTTCGTTAATGGGCAGGCAAAGTTGGTTTTTTTTGTGATGACGGGTAGGCATAGTTACTCTTTATGGAGATCACGACCAGGTAGGGCCAGCCAAATAGATTCAACGGGATTCCTTGATTGATTGATTGATTGATTGGTCGAGACCTCCTCCTCTGCTTCCTCCTCCATTGTCGGGACCTCCTCCTCCTCCTCCATCGTCGGGACCTCCTCCTCATCCTCCATCGGGACCTTCTCCTCCACAGGGACCTCCTCCTCCTCCTCCTCCTCCATTGTCGAGACCTCCTCCTCCTCCTACTCTTCCTCCATAGTCCGGACCTCCTCCTCCTCCTCCTCCTCCTCCATAGTCGGGACCTCCTCCTCCTCCTCCATCGGGACCTCCTACTCCAGCGAGACCTCCTCCTCCATCGAGACCTCCTCCTCCTCCTCCTCCCCCTCCTCCTCCATTGTCGGGAGCTCCTCCTCCTCCTCCTCCATCTCGCAAGAATGTCGAATCCCGTGGTTGTAGACGTCACAACCCCCGCTCTCCTTCTTTTTTTTTTTTTTTTTTTTTTGCCTTTACCGTCGCAATCAATCAATCAATCAATCAATMAATCAATCAACCAATCAATTAATCAACCAATCAATCAATCAATCAATCAATCAATCAATCAAGGAATCCTATCGAATCTATCTATTGATTCGACAGGATTTTGACAGTTCAAGATTCACTGGACGGGATTCCTTGATTGATTGATTGATTAATTGGTCGGGACCTCCTCCTCCGCTTCCTCGTCCATAGTCGGGACCTCCTCCTCCTCCTCCTCCTCCTCCTCCTCCACCATCATTGGGACCTCATCCTCCTCCTCCACGGAACCTCCTCCTCCATCGGGACCTCCTCCTCCACGGGACCTCCTCCTCCATCGGGACCTCCTCCTCCTCCTCCTACTCCATTGGGACGTCCTCCTCCATAATTAGGGGCAGTCAGGGAAGAGTGGGTAACAGGTGCGGGCGGTTACAGGTAGGCGCATAAAATTGTGGGTAGGTGGTGGCGGTTACGAGTAGACACGGGTAAGGAAAACTTGGGTTGGGTATGGTACGGGTGGTTAACACACGGATTGGGTTCAGTTAGCCATGGTTGGTTTGAAAAAAAAGAAAATCCAAGGGCGGGTATGGGCAGTTACAGTCTGCAGAGGTTCAGGTAGGGGCAGGTACAGGTACACGGTTTTTTTTTTGGATCAGTTGGAGGTAGGTAAAGGTGCGGTAGGCCAAGTATACAGTGGTTATGGTTGGTTGGTTTTCGAAAAGTGTCTGGTTGGTTTAGTTACAGGTATTCCTAAAAATCCTGGTTGCGAAATCTGATCCTAACGCGTCTTAAGGAAACTCATATTTCACCTACTTTTGATCCTTACATTCTCTCTCTTTTGAAATAAGCACACATATTGGTGCTTATGTAGTAGAGTCTTAACTCATTCGCTGTTGTGGTCTTCCACTCGAAAGCCATGAAAGGATACAGACCTCACAGTAGTTTTTATTCTACTAGTATTCTTTTTCCCGCGGTCCTAACTTCTTTCTTTGTTTATTTCCTAGATTCGTGAGACCTTGCTCCAACAGGAGCATTGTTCTTTCCCCTTTCATCTATTTGTACTGACATACTCAAGTAGTAGTTTGATTCACACATGAATCTCTTGCAACTTGGTCAATACCAAGCAATCGGTTGATCAAACGAGAAGTCGAGTAAATCACACATGAGTACTTGACTCCCTTTCCAGTCTCATTCAATACAAATACAAAAGGCTAGCAATACACAAGATTTGTTTCAAGTAGCCGGATAGCTCACACAGGAATATCCCTCTTGAAACAAATAGTTGAGGCTCCTACCAGAGCACCCTACTACTTACTTTAGGTATCACTCAGAAAGATCTAGATTTCAACCCCCTCCCAGAGGTTAATAACTGTCTGAGTGAATAATAGGCGACCCGCACAAGAGCACCCTACTATCACGTGATCAAAACCACGGTCCAGCTCATGGGTGCATTAGGATAATCCTAACAAGGGTATCCTGAGACCCGGTTAGTTTGGACAGAAGACGAGTGTTTAGGGTATTCCTACAGGAGTCCCCCACCTCGTAAGTAAGTACAGAATCAAGCAAGTAATAAGCAGACCCTAACAAAGGCCCCCCAACTACTTCCTTGGGTAATACTTAGTCCGTATCTAAAACAAGTAATAGAGTGACTCCTATAGAAGCCTCCCTACTACCCGTTTTGGTGATCGGACTGCCTGTGAGTAAGTAAGTTGGTAAAGAAAGAGAAGCAATGTGATTTACCACTTCTTGTAACTCGTTAGCTAGTCTTAGACCTGAGTGTGTGAATAGGATGACCCTCACTGGAGCCCCCTACTACTCCTCGAATAAATGTCAAGACTGAACAAGTCTGAGTCCTTAACAAAAAGGGAGGTTAGTATCAAAATCCCCTCCCTTTTCACATCAAGCAGACCCCTAGTTAATCAAGGTGGTGAGGTGGCACGCACAGGAGTACCGCCACCTTTTGATTATGTCAATCGTCCCAACCTCATAAGACAAGTGTCCAACCCACACATGAGTTTTTTCTCGCCTTCGGAGACTTGTCCGATGGGTTAACAGGGCGACCCGCACAAGAGTCTCCCTTTTAATATTTCTAAATGTCATACATTTTTCCCTTTTACGACGACAGTCGATCCGGTAAGGTGACTAACACATGAGTACCTCGTTGTCAACCCTTAGTTGAGTTAGCACATACACAAGTAGCACGACGGCTCACACATGAGTCTTTTATTGCACCACTTTGTTCTTTCAATCCAAACAATCTAGATTCCTTTTCGGTTAACTTAGGTTCCTTTCCTTTCATCAGGCAGGATTTTTATTTTCAATCATAAAACCTTTTCCCTTTTTGATACAAGTTGGTCATGAAAAATGTATGAACAGTATATCATACAGTCATCATACAGTCATACATGCAGTCCGATAGAAGGTCATAGTTTGTAAGGGTATACGAGAAAGGAATAGGTGACGCGTACCTCATGGTTCCCTGCCTCCATAGTTCCTGCAGAACTCCGGCAGAGTTCCCGCAATCGCCCAAAACAACTGCAAACATTTAAAGTCAAAAGGATAGGTGCCTGAGAAAGGATAAACAAGATAAGAATGAAGGAGGATGGAGGAGGTAGGCACCACCACACAGTGACAGTGTCTCTCTCCTCTCCAATGCCCCACACTCCTTTTATCTCTGGCCCATGATAAAAGTAACAAAAACAAATAATAATAATAATTATAAAAATAAAAATAATAATATTAAATGATAGCAACAATAATAATAATGAGAGAGGTGGTATCCTGTCATTTTTTTCTCTTACCTTCCTCCTTTATTTCCCCTTCTTCCCTTCTATCTTCCTCTCTTAACCTTCCTCCTTTTCCATCATTTTCCCTTTTGTTCATGTACGTTTTCTTTACTTATGTCAATCTTGCCATGTAGCCCTAGGCACAAAAACCCGCTTGCTTCCTGCATGCGTGTCTCTAGGACCACGTGGGCGTGTTTTTTGTTCAGCCTGCCAACAAGACTGCGCGGGCACATGCTTGGCGCCATGCATGCCTAGCCATAGTGTGCTAGCGTCCCACTGTCCGATTGCGACCCACACCCCTTAGTGCATGCGCGCGGATGTGGTGCTAATGTTGCGTTCTCAGTGACCCACGGCCCCTTCTTACCATGGTGGCCTCACGCTGCACGTGCGCAGATGTCTGCGCCTAGACCATAATCACACAGCTTACTAGCAACCTACGAATGGACAATGCACCCAGTTGACGTAAGCGGCATAACCAAAGTATGTGATGATGTCGACCCCCGTAGACTATTACTAATGCCAGGTACATGGCCCCACATCATCAACTTTTCTTTTTGCCCTATTTCTCTTTCCCACTTTCTCTGATAGTGATACAGTTGAAACAGTTTTCACCTCTACGGTAGCAGATGCAATTCTCCGGCTTGACCCCTCGGCCTCGCCCCTTCCGATGTACAGCGTCCGTTGACCCACGCGAGCTTGAATCCTAGGTCTGTAGCTTAGAGGTCTGGCAATGGTAGGAGTCGTAGCCACTATAGTACCGAAGGATCAAGCATACAGTCTTCTGGAAGATACGGAACTGACCCATCGTGAGTTTCAGGTTGCAGTCCGTGATCACATGGACCGGAGGGCAGTCCTACCCTGCACCTTCAAATGCACCCAGCCCTTGTCGCCCTCTGCCAAGTCGGCGAGTATCATGTGGGATTGTGCTACTCTGTGCTCGTCATTCAGAGGCAGACCTTCGACGATCGGAAATATAAATCAAGAGTCTGTGTTTAGACATTAATTCATTCCACCTCCGAGTCGTGCGAAAGCGTTGTTCGTGTGTTTTGTGCTACCGAGATCTGTAAGTCTGTAAACACCTGTCTCTTTCTCCCTCTCTACCTTTTATCTCAGTCTGTACCTCCTTGTTCCCTTCATATATGCACTCTCTACCCTTCCTGTGTTTGTCTATCTGTCTGTTTGGACTGCCTGTTCTGACTACCTGTTTGCTAGTCTGTCTTATCTGTCTGTTTGTTTTTACTGTCTGGTTGTCAATCTGTCTTGTCTGTCTTGTTTTTCTTCGTCTGTTGGTTTACCCGCTTGTTTCTGTCTGTTTCGGTCCTTGTCTGTTTGTCTCTCTGCCCGTTATGTATGTCTGTATGTGTCTGTTTTGCCTGTTTGGTCTGTCTGTATGTTCTGCTCTCTGTGCGTGTACGTCGCTGTCTGTTTGGTACCCTGTGTCTGGCTGTCTATTTGGTTGTCTGTATATCTGTCTGATCCGTGATTTTGACTGTTCGTATATCTCCGCCTCTCTTTGTGTTCCTTCTTCTTCTTCTTCTTTCTTTTATCTCTCCCCCCGCCTTGTGTTCTTCTCTTCCTCTTTATCCTTTCTTCCAACGCTTGGCATGGCATCGTTATTCTCAATCGGTCTGCCCGCAATCGAGATACAACGGTGCAGATGCATTTGTAGAAAGGATAGAAGAAAAAGAATGACCGTATATAATAATAATATTTCCCCGTTTCAGCAGAAGATTCGTTCCCGTTTTGTTCATCGTATCTATGGAATGTGTGTGTGTGTGAAACGTTCATGATTCGACCAAGGAGAGAAACAGAGAGAGAGAAAGAGAAAGAAACAGAGAGAGAGAGAGAGACGGCACAGAGAGAGAGAGAGAGAGAGAGGGTGGGGGGATGTGACCGCCGACCAGAGAGAGAGAGAGAGAGAGAGAGAGAGAGAGAGAGAAAGAGAGAGAGAGAGAGAGAGAATTTTCCGTTGACAGGTTCAGCAAAACCGATCCCCATATATGTGTGTGTGTGTGTGTCTGTGTGTGTGAGTGTATGTTGTGTGTGTGTATGTGTGTGTGTGTGAGTCTGCTCTTCTCTCTCTTTCGACCTTTTTTCCTTTTTTTTTAGTTGCTGTCATGGAGTTCGATGGAGCACAGATCACGTATTAAAATAGTTCAAGATTGGACATTCGCTCATTTCTGGGTTGTGAGAAACGAACATCCACTTTGCTATTTTTTTTTTTTTTGGGAAATCGTTGTGTGTTGCTTACAAAGGTGCTGGATATCATTTTATTTTTGCTCTTAACGAATCGACACGAGACATTCCTATTAGACAGACAATCCAGAAATAATTGGCTTGCCCGGGGGGGTTGTATCCGTCGTGCCATGACCATGGATTGGACCTGTCTACGCACGATCTGCCATCGACAGTGACGAACAGATGCGAGGGGTGTCTATCAGCTTCCCCCAAAAAGAACGCATGGTTCAATTTATCTCTGTGTCTGAGTGAAACTTTGCCCCATATACAGCTAGAATGACCTTGCGTTCTATTAAGGGGACGATGGCAGCGCCCTGGTGCTGCATCATGGAAACAGGCTTGGAAACGGGCAATGCGGTTTGTGCCGGGAGAGGGAAGGAGGGAGGCGGTGTCGGGGGTGCTTTCAGGGGGGGCAAAGTCGTGAGTGGGGTGGGAGACTGGTTTGCCGAGAAAAAGACCAGGGCCATGGAGTGGTGCAACTCCCGCCAAGGTCCCCTCTCTCTCCCTCTCTCTCAATCAATCAACTGATCAATCAGCCAATCAATCAAACTCGCTCTCCCTCTCTGCCTCTCCTCTCTCTCTCTCTCTCTCTCTCTCTCTCTCTCTCTCTCTCTCTCTCTCTCTCTCTCTAAGGCGCCTCCTTTTGACGATATATCATGTCCGCCAAATGTTGCGATGATAATCGCAGAAATAAAAACAAAAGTTGCCACGGACCCGCGCGCTTCACGAATCCTTTCCTCTCTCTCTCTCTCTCTCTCTCTCTCTCTCTCTCTCTCTCTCTCTCTCTCTCTCTCTCTCTCTCTCTCTCAACCAATCGCGACCTGCTACA